GAGGAGGAGGAGGAGGAGAAGGAGGAGCACCAGAATCACCATGAACGGACAGCAGTCCGATCGAAAGCCGAACGAGTTGAGACGACTCAAGCAGAGTCGTCGGAGGGCGGAGCGGCGCGCCTGCCCCTCGAACCCGTCGGAGACGACGGCGCCGCAAGCGCCACGGGTGGGGCCTCGCGCGCGAGAGAGCACGCCGCGCGCCGCGCAGCACACGACCTCGACCTCCGCACCCCTCCCCAACCGACCATGACGCCGCTCCCCCCCCCCACCACTACTGGTCCGCCGCCGCGCCACTCTGGACCCTGCCCCGGAGAACTTCCCGGAAGGCCCGAGGCCTTCCGATCCCTCTGAGGAGGCCCGCTCCCTCCCAGAGGCCCCCCCCCCGGGCCCGCCGCCGAGTCTGGGGTCGATCGCTCGGAGGGCCGCGGTGTGCCAATGTCTCTGAGCGCTGTGCGCCCCACCTGGGCCTCCCGGCGGCTGCTCGACGGAAACCGCCGACTTTCCAACAGGCCTCCTACCAAAGCAGGCCCGGCAAGACAAAAGGCCAGGCAGTCTCCCCCTCGCACCGCTCTCCTGGCTCTTCTTCCCCTTGAGCTCCCCATCCCACTCTGGGCCGCAGCCGCAGCCACCTGATCAGCACGAACCTGCTGGATGGCCAGCGGGGGCCGTCTGCGGGAGGGAAAAAAGGCTTCGTCAGAGACGCACGAGGTTCTGAGCTGAGCTTCTTGGGAGGTGGGGGCCTGACATTGCTTTGGGAGCCATCTGCCATCGAGAGTGACAGTGGATCCGCACACTGAACAAAAGTGCAGGGATAAGTCAGGCCAGAATGCGTGTTGTGAGCATGTGTCGTGCCTATGACATACTCCCCAGTGCGCCGCACGAACTGAGACCACTCCGAGGCAATCGAGGCGGCAGTTGGGGCCATCCCTGCGCACTGCTGTGCAAAACTCCACAAGTTGAGAAGAGGGCGCAATCTGGCAGCACCAACGACAACGCCACCGGTCGCCGACCTGCACACAATCATGAGTTGTCTCCGTCAGGGCTCTCTTCTGCTTACTGGGAGGGGGAACACGTTGTTCGGCCAATATATTGGCCTGCCACGGGTCGAAGTGCAAGGAGACAAGGAGGGCACCACGCGCACGGCGCTTGATAAGGTGCGCAAGGCAATCGTAATCATCGGTCTTGGGCACTGGATGCTTCACAAGCTGGCTCCATGAGCGTTCGGCAGCAGCTCCCGCCCGTTCATCTGCGCACATGTGCCTGACGGAGGAGGAGGAGGAGGACGAGGAGGAGGAGGTCGGAGGAGGAGGAGGAGAAGGAGGAGGAGGAGGAGGAGGACGAGGAGGAGAAGGAGGAGGAGGAGGAGGAGAAGGAGGAGGAGAAGGAGGAGGAGGAGGAGGAGGAGGAGGAGGGGCGGGGGGGGGGCTCTCCCGAGAAGCCTCCCCGAGTCCTCCTCTCGCGGAGGGCTGGCCCCGCCGACCCGCGTCTCCGCGCCGGCGCCCGAGGTTCAACGGGCCAGACCCGGGCGTGGTCACCCCGCGGACGCTGAGCCGATCGGCCCGGGGTCCGGCCAGCAACAAGCCGGTGGAGGACAGTCTTCCTCCTCCTTGTCGTTTTGTTCTGAGCATTTTCTTAAGGGGGAGGGCGCAGGGTGAAATCCACATGGGCTCACGCACCTCGAAAATCAATCCGCGTTGCGATTCGCCTTTTGAATATGCAAGCCTCGACAGCCCATCGAAACGGCATTTCAGATTTCACCCTTTGCCCTCCACCCAAAGAAAATGCCCAGTTGTTGGCGACTACAAAGGGTATGCTTACGCCAGGATGCGGTTTGCGACTAGCACCGTGAGGCATGGGGGGGTACGACACTGTCTTCCTCGGGCCTCCTCGGGCCGCGGCGGAGAGCTCGATCGAGGTCCCCGCCCGCACCCCAGGGTGCCCCCCAGGGTGCTGGTTGCAAAGCAGACCCTTTGCAAACCACACCCTTCGGAGTCGCCGATCTTGTTTTACGCTGGGCAAACTCAAGCGTCTAGGCTGGAGGGTTCTGCTGGTGCAGAATATCGATTTGGTGCAGTGGTGAACATATTTGTGCAAATTAGGCGGCAGGCCCGCGCGGTAGAGGAAAGGCATATAAAGTACAGGAACAGTCGAGTGCCCAAAGAGGGCGCAGAGTGACGGTGCTTGCCGCCAAGGTGGACAGGGGGAAGACGATTTCTTCCCTCCTCCTCCTCCTCCTCCTACTCCTTCTCCTCCCTTTCTCCTCCTCCACTCGCTGCGAAGAAAAGAAAATAACGGCGGGAGGTTTTTGGCGGTTTTCGGCCTCCAGGGGCCCTTGCCAGGCCCCGGGACCGTCAAAAAGCTGTTCGGGATGAAAAACCGGTCCTTGGGAAAGGATCTAGAATTTTGTGGGTCGAAGCCGTGAAAAAAACATGACGTCGGCCTCCATCCTCATCTTCCCTCGGTTTTCTCGTCCTCATAGTCCTCCTCGCCCACCTCGTCCTTTTCATTGTCCTCCCTCTTACCCCTCCCTCCTCTCTCCTCATCCTTGTCTCCTCGTCCCTTGTTTGAGGAGTTTTATCTCCTCGTCCCTTATCCTCCTCGTCGTCCTCCTGCTCTTCGTCCCCCCTCTTCGAGGACCAGCGCATCTTCTCCAACGGCAACTCGTACGTCGGATATTGGCTGGACGGCCGCATGCACGGCAAAGGCCACTACGTCTGGGCTGACGGAAGCGAGTACGAGGGAGAGTTCCACGAGGGCTACATGTGGGGCGACGGCAAAAAGATCTGGCCCACGGGCAGGACCTACGAGGGCGAGTGGCGCAAGGACCAGATGCACGGAGACAACAGCACGAACAAGATGAGCTGGCCCTCCGGCGAGGAGTACATAGGAAGCTTCAAGAAGGGTGTCTTCCACGGCAAGGGCACCCGCAAGTGGCCCAACGGCGACCGCTACGACGGCTCCTTCAAGCACGGCGTCCAGGAGGGCGACGGCTTGTTCCGTTGCGAGGACGAGGGCTGGGAGTACTCCGGCCAGTGGCTCCAGAACCGCATGAGCGGGCGCGGGCGCGTGAAGTGGCCCAACGGCATCCAGTACGACGGGCAGTGGAAGGAGGGCATCCGCGAGGGCAAGGGCAAGCTCACCTGGGCGGACGGCGCCTGCTACGAGGGCGAGTTCCAGCACAACTGCATCGAGGGCAAGGGAAAGAAGGTGCTGCCCGACGGCTCCTGGTTCGAGGGCCAATTCCACGACAGCGAGCTCGAGGGCCACGGCACCTTCCACTGGCCCGACGGCACGGAGTTCGAGGGCCTCTGGCACAGCAGCGAGATCGTGGGCCCCGGCAGCCACCGCTTCCCCAACGGCACCACCATCACCGGCGTCTTCGAGAGCAACGGCGCCGCGGGCGAGGGCACAAAGAAGTGGTCCAACGGCTGCGTGTACACGGGCGCCCTGCAGAACAACCACATCTTCCAGTACGGCGTCTTCCAGTGGCCGGACGGGCGCCGCTACGCGGGCCAGTTCCTCGACGAGATGATGCACGGGGAGGGCACCCTCTGCTGGTCGGACGACCACGGCGTGTGCCGGTACAAGGGCTCCTTCGAGCACAACGTCTTCCAGGGCCAGGGCGTGCTGGAGTGGTCCACGAAGGCCAAGTACACGGGCGAGTTCTTCAACGGCCTCTACCACGGCGAGGGCACTTTCGAGTGGCCAGACAAGGCGCACGTCTACCGCGGTCAGTGGCAGTTCGGGGAGATGAGCGGCAGGGGGACGCTCACAGCGAGCAACGGCTCCGTCTATTCCGGGGAGTTCCACGCCGGCAGCATGGACGGCCGAGGCACCATGACGTTTATCACCAACGATCAGTACGTCGGCGAGTTCAAGGACTCGAAGTTCAACGGGGCGGGAACCTACACCTGGTCCTCGGGCACGCAGTTGATCGGCATCTTCGAGAACAACTTCTGCAACCAGGTCGGCAAGAAGACGTACGCGAACGGCGGCGTGTACCTGGGAGAGCTCAGCGCAGACCTGGAGCACGGCCGAGGCGTCTTCGTGGACGCCAAGGGGGTGCGGGTGCTGGGCACGTGGGAGAAGGGCCGCCTGGTCGAGGAGCTGGTGGAGATGATCGTCCCTGCGGCCGAGGTGGACGGAGGCGGTGGCGGGCGAAGGGAAGAGATAGGAGCGAATCCATTGCCCACCCACCCACCCCGCCTCCCGCCTAGCGTTCAGTCGGACGTGTCCCTCTACACTAGGAATACGCAAAAAAAGAATCAAAGAAAAAGTCTGGGTACGATTTTTTTTGCTATATTTGAATTTTTGGGGGGGTATCTTTTATTTTTCGCCGCCGCCTGCAGAAGGACGTGCCCGACCGAAGCCCCGCGGGGGATCGGCCCAGCGGGGGACGCATCGACCCCCCCATCGCCCATGGAATCGCCGAGAATGGGGGCCCGACCGCACCCTAATGCGCAGGGAGAGCGCGACCGGCGCGCCGGGGGTCGACCCAGGCGGCGTTCTGGCGATCTCGTGGGCCGTTTTCGTTTCGATGTCGTCTTTAGAAAAATAAAAAATAAAAAAAAGAGAGAGAGAGAGAGCGAGAGAGAGAGAGAAAACAACAGAAAAAAATATGTTTTTTTTTTAAAAAAACAAAAAAAAAAAAAAAAAAAAAAAAAAAAAAAAAAAAAAAAAAAAAAAAAAAAAAAAAAACGCCATAAACATAAACTTTTGGCGCTGCGCGCGGATTTCTTGGATCCGCGCTGGGCCCCCCTCCCTGGCGCGCGGAGCGCGCCAGGGGCGGCGCCGGAGGCGCCGCCAGGGGGGCCACAGCGCGGATCCAAGAAATCTGCGCGGAGCGCCAGAAGTTTATGTTTGTGTCGTTGGTTCTTCTCCGAGTCTTGCAGCAAATGCGGACTGGGGACAAAATCAGGGAAACGAAAACATAACGAAGGCGAACAACTTGTACGTCGCAGCGCAGCAGAGGCAGTTCGCACGCGCGCTCTCGGACAAGT